ACATTTCCACGTAACTATAAAACTTTGTAGATCGAAAATCACTCGATCTATAATTAAACAGAAGTAAAATTTTTTGTATAACTATTTCGCAATTTTTATTCCATTCCACATTTAATTGACTCGTTATCTTATCGTTTAATTGTCCCAATGATTGGTAACAGAATTTCTCCAATTCTGTAACGCTCGTGAAATGAACGAACCAGTTTGACGAATAGATTATGTATATATGTTCGAGCGATAGTGACTTTCTAGTCTGACCAGTCACCATAAAACACTCTGGTAATGGCAACATTCGTGTTACATTTATACACAGATCTATTGGTAAAAGAAATTTCGAATAGAAGATTAATGTTTTCCAAATGATTGCGATAATAACCGAGTTCCCTCGATAAGATTGGTCTTTCGATGTAAAATACGAATATCAATTTCTTTGCTTCTTTTTTTCCTTTTTTTTTTTCCTTTTTTTTTTTTTTTACGACCAAAGAAATGGTGAAAATTAATCTTGGAAGATTTATTATTTCTGGATGATTCATTTCTTTAAATAAGAAATCGTTATACTTCTCAAGATTATGATTTATGAATTTATCGAAAGCGATTAGTTTTCAGTTTTATTTATTTATTTTTTCTTTTTTTTTGTTTTCAAACACAGTAATTGAGGATTGGAAATAGGGAATTGTCTTTTTAAAATATTTATTTATCAAGATATTCTAAATCTTCTACAATTCTTTCTCTCTCTCTCCCTCTCTCTACTTTATCTCTTCCTTTACTTACGATCTTTCTCTTCTCTATGATTATACGATATGTCGAAATTTAACAAAATTTTGTTTCTAACGAAATTTGTTTTTTTTTTGATTCCAGGTGACGAGCAATACCGAGGCGCTGGAGGATCCAGCAGCGGAAGTCCTCCAGCGAGTCTGCTGGTGGTTCCTCAGCCTTTGACCGTGAAACCGTCTCACCCCTCTCACCTGAACCCCCACCTGGGTGGACCACACTCTCATCCGCCGAGAAAGTACCAGTGCAAGATGTGCCCACAGGTGAGCCCTTGAAAATTTCACTTGAATTTCACTTTAAAATCCGATTTACAATTTAAAATATTACCTATCGACGCTTCGATACCAAAATAATAATAATAATAATAATAATAATAATAATAATAATAATAATATATTTCGTAATAATTGCAACATTTCGAATCTCCTCGAAATCAACTAGTGTTTTCAAAAAAAAATATTTTCCAAAAAGATCTTTCTCATCTTCCGTTCCTTCCAACGCCTTGAAAAACTATCGAAACTGCGATTGCTGGATCGCAGAAAGAAAATTCTCATAGAAGATAAAAAAACGAAAAAAAAGAGGGGGGGAGGGGCAGGGTGGAAAAAAATGCAGGAAAGCACAGGAGAAGGAAGGAATCGACAACAGAGTCAAGGGTGCAATTAAACTGTAACTGGACATTTTTTTCTCCGTCCCGAGCCCGATAATGGCGTCGTTTTATGGCGCTTCAACCCTTTACGGTATCCCTTCAAGCCTCGTACGCACGGTAGCGGCTGATTTTTACCGCAGGTACTCGCGAACCAACGATTCAACAAAGCCACGAGGGTTATTCGCCTCTCGCCACTGTTGTAAAACATCGGCCATTCAGCTGACAACCACTTCCCCCCTCCCTTCTCCTTCTCCTCCTCCGCTTCTGGTGCAACACGCGGAGAGACCTCCCCCTCCTCCTACTACTACTTTCCCCCTTTCTAATTTACTTCCTTCCCCTATTATTCCTCTTCCCGCCAGGAATTGATCTTCGTCACCAGATCTCTTTCTCTCTCTCTCTCTCTCTCTCTCTTTTTCTGTCTTGTAATTCGGTTGGAAAAACTTGATTTCGTTTCATTTTCGTGCGACACATTTTCAAAGCTAATCGATCCCTCGAAGAAATATTTTAATTTTTAAATCTCTCTCGGTCAAACGACGACGAATTCGACTCATCTCGACTGTTGAAAAATTGCTCTATTGATCTATGAGAAGGAAGAGCGGGGAAAAGATTTCCAGATCCATTTTTTTTTTTTTTCATTTCTTCATCCTTCGATAAATTTTTTTCGCCTCTCGCGTACGTCTCATTCTTCCGCGTATCGATTTTATACCTATTCGAGTCCCCCTTCCCTCCCTCCCGAAAGTCGATGACGTCTCCTAACTCTTCTCCCCTCCCTCCTCCTTAGAAAAGGAAAGGGTTGTTTCTTGAAATCGAGCCGTCTCACGGCCAAGAATCTCGCCGTTTACACCTTGTAAATCCAACGACAGAGCGGCGGATTACCTCGTCGAAAGGCTAAAGGGGGATTACACAGCTTATCCGGCGTGGTTAATCGCGAAAACACACGAAAACACGATGGAGAACGATGGTGTTTGCGATTGTCAATGTCAAAGAGGAGTCAAAGGGATAAAGAAATGGATAAGGGAGACAGGTTTTCTTTATTTCATTTCTTTTTTTTTTTTTTTTTTTTTTAG